GGCCCATGTGAGGCTAAAAATGATGAAAATGCCCCTGAAAGGAATTTGTGGAATTCCTAGGGTTTTGACTGATTTTGAATATTAAATTATTTAAAGTATAAGGAGGCCTCATATAATTGGAAGAAAATGGAAAAAAATACTTGAGGATTTATTACAGGTTTTAAAAATAATTCCGTCCCCAGAAAGCGAAGAGGTTAGCTTTAATAAAATTTAAAGTCTATTTATATGCTATCCAGAGAAAGTCAAAGTCAAATATCTAGATGTTGAATTTTGACTTGAGAAAAATTAGAGGAATTTCCTGTGATGAATAAATAGTACTGGTACCTAGAAACAAATTCTCGGAGTCATAGACCGGTAGAAAGAATTCAGTCAAGATCACTCTGAAATAAATATTATTAATTATTTAATTATTTTAATGAAAGAACAAGGGAAGAGTATCACTCCCTCTTTAGGCATGTTATATAATGCCATGTAGATTTATTTGAGGTGAGAAAATGATACCAAAATATGTCCTAGTGGTCTTGAGTAAGTCAGGGGCCGAAAAAGTATCCTATACGGTGCAGAATGACAAGATAGGTGGAAAAATGCATAAAGGTGGTATTTTGCACGAATTTTATATTAATTTCATCCTTATTTTAATGCCAAAATGATGAAAGAATATGGAGGAGAAAAGTGTACGGTTAGATGGGAAAAGAATGTATTACATGTACAGCTAGATGCACGACACATGTACAGTCGGATGTGAGACACGTGTACCATTGGATTGGAGATATATGGCTTGATGATGTAAGCAGGATGTCATCATGATAAGGTAAGCATGATGTCATCAGACACTTGTCACCATAAGATTAAAAGAGAAAATGGACGATTCAGATTAAGCCATAGATTTTTAAGATCAATAGTCCAGATTCAATCTTGTTTTCTATAAATACTCCCTCCCCACCCCTCATTTTTGTGCAAGCCATGTACTTATGGGAAAACTCTTGCAAAATGGATTCTAGAGAGAGAAAGAAAGGCCAAATGGTCATATGCAAGATCAAACTCCAAAACAAGGTATATTCATGGTTTTTGATGTAGTTTTCACTACTCTTGTTGTTGTTGAGATTGGTTATGGATTTTAATAATATTTAGGAGCTTGAAACCCTTAGTGGAAGTACTGCACGAAATTCTTAAGAGTAGGGGAAGATGAAATTGATGTTAGAATAATGTTCAAAGCCTTAAAAGGAACATGAATCACATGGTTTTATGCTGAAATTGATTAAATTTCATGATTGTGTAACTTAAAGAAATGTTTCGGTCAGACCTGATTCTTGTGCCTAGGATGTGATTTTGATGCTTCGAATGTGTTTAAAATAAAAAATTGTGTAGTGATAAAATAAAAGAATGAAGTTGGAAGTATTGGAATCAAAACTGAAAATTAAGTGGTAGATTTCGGTTTGGGCCTAGGACCAAAGGAAAGAGCTGGATTTTGATGAATCTAAGCTCATATTTGGATTTCTTAGACAAAATTGTATGGGATTGGCCTAAGAAAACAATTTTTACAAAGTTAGAACACTACATTATAAATTAAGGAAAAGGGGGATTAAGTTTAAGGATATAAATCTTCCATATTGTATAATTCTTGGTCCTAATGAGTAATGTGACCGTTATAGCTATAATTAGGACCTTGAGGCATTCAAGGGAAGGTTTGGATGTGGTTGAGAGAGCAACATTAATGGTTGGAAGCAAAAGGAAGTAAGAAGAAAGTTTAAGGACACAAAGTAGCAAATTTTACCCTACTCTTATGTGTTTGGTATTTGCTTGCATGTATGACATATTCTATGTTTATATGATTTTATGAACTCATGCATTGTGATTTTGAATATGTTTGAAATGTGTCATAGACCTATGTGTTTTATAGTTAGTGCATGATGATTTCCAAACAAGTCACTATGTTACAGAAACGTTAAGTTGCAAGCATATTATAAATGCCAAGCTTGCTATGTATGTTTTGGTGGTTATTATTTTCTACTGAAATTCTCCTGAATCTCACCCTCCCTTAACCAACCGTAATAGGTACAAGAGATTGGAAGAAGAATTCAAGAAGTGGAGCAAGAAAGAGATGAAAGAATTTAAGAAATGTATTACATTATGTTGTACACTTTGTATACCAATGTATATTGTGAATATGCCACTGATGGTATGTGATGTTAAATAATGATAATGGCTTGTGTAATTGGCTATAACAAGGTATAGGAATGGTTAATGCTTGAATGGAATGGCATTATGCATGTTAAGATTTAATCATGAGCTGTTAGTACAAGTTGAGGGGATAAATTAATGCTAATTGAGCAACGAAATATTGGTAAAGTATAAGTGAGGTAAATGAATGATTCTACCCACAAAACATGATTTGGATCATCACAAAGGACCACATACCTGCCCAGTCCTATGGTTAAGGTAGGATGTTCAATTCTGCCAGTTTCTGTATACGTGTTTTGTTATTAATGATTTTTTTTTTTGACCAGCTATTAATGAATTGATTTTGATTTTTGGTTTTGATAAGACTGAGGTTGCGTTTGGTAGGAAGCATTGAAAATGAGGGATTGGGATTGAGATTACAAGTGAAAAAATCTATCAAGAGAGTGTTTAGTATAAAAGATTGTTTGATATATGAGATTAGCCAAAGCCATGTATGTGGGATTGGAGAATACCATGGGGGGAAGTGGTATTCTCCAATCCCACCTTTATGGGTTTGCCTAATCTCATATAACAAATAATTACTCATGCTAAGTATTATTTTAGTGATTTTTTTCAATTACAATTTCAATCCCAATCCCTCATTTTCAATGCTTCCTACCAAACGGGACCTGAGGGTAAAGGGAAAAAGTTCGGATGAAATGAATTTTACAATAAACAAAGAGAGAAAGCAAAGTGTTCCAAGTCAATTTTTCCAACTCACAACATGATCTCATATCACACCAAATAGAGCATTTTAATTTCTACAACACAACTATTCACATTGAGTTGCCATACGAAAGTATAAATCACGAAGCTACATTCCAATTTCTGGGATCTTTGACTCCTTCATAGTTGATATTCATTTCGTGTCTAAATTCTGTTACTTGTTCCTCGCAGAGGAGACTGTGTAAAAGAAGCTAATTACCCGTAGATCCAGTCAAAAACCCTTGGTCCCCCTGAGAAAAGTATTCCTCTGTTTCTGTATACTATCCTATTTATAAGAACTACAAATGAGTAGCTATAAATAAGACCAAAGCTTGTATTTATTTTCTGCTCTTGATGAGTTGCTTGCGCCACGGCAAATTCTCACATCACTACAGGATTAGATGCGGGTGGTAGCTATTATTGCCGGAATGATTGGATTTGCTGCAATTTCACATCGTCTTCTTTCTCATTATCTCACTTCAGGAAAATCGCAGAGACCCAAGCCTCAGTTGCAAGACAAGAACCAGAACAAAGCTGGGTACATAGAATAAGAACAAATGATGTCCAATTCCGATGATATTAATGCTTTGGACGAGTTTAATACTATTCTCAAGAGTTTGAACGATCACCGTAACGAAATGGAGGGGATAATATGTGAACAATATGGGTGCATGTCCAATTCAAATGTTTCTGATGCTTTGGCATTGAGAAGGCCACTTCTGAGCAATGTTATGGAGGCATTAGCTGATCCTAAGATTCACTCAATCGGATTTTATGGCTCACATGATGAGATCAAAGACAGTTTGCTTGCAAAAGTTTGTCGAAGAGTCCGCCAAGACAAACTGTTTGATATGGTTCTGGGGGCAACTGTAACCAAGAAACCTGATATGAAGATTATTCAAGAGGAGATTGCAGGCCAACTAGACCTCACCTTTGATCACATATCCAAAAATGGAAGAACCCAAGAATTGATTGAGAGGATAAAGGTTGAACAGAAATTCTGATCATACTCTGTGACCTTCATAAGGAGCTTGAATTGGGTAAGGTAGGAATTTCATATAGTTCAGACTTCAAATCACACAGGTTGCAAGATATTTACTCATTTCTACAACTGAAGATGTGCTATCCGACCACATGCATACCCAAAAGAATTTCATGGTCGAATGATTCTCTTAATGTATAAAAACTTTAAACCTTGGCTGAGAGTTTCCAGATCATATATGTTGCGAGGGGCTTATTGCATGTTTGTTCTTTTTCACTTGACAGCATTTTGTATAATAATAGTATGTGTTGCTTGTGTTCTCTAATAATATTGCTAGTTTTTGTTCAGTGTAAGACTTTCGAAGTTTGTATTTTATAATCTTATATGGAAAGTCACTGTTGTGGAAATGTGAACGGAGAAGTGGCTATGGGTCCTTCTTTTCCTCGCCGTTTGAGATCATCCTTTTTCTAACAAAGAACTGACATTAAACATTACTAATTTATTTAGTTATTCTAGGATTATAATATAATATATATCATGTCTAGTATTACGTGCTTGGTAGTTAAACGAAGTTTGGATCATCACAAAGGTCTATATATCATGTCCAGTCCCATGGCCCCTCTCTGTATTCCTATTGCAAATGTAGAATATTCAGTTCTGTCAGGCTAAGTATACGTGTTTGGTTATTATTGAATTGGTTTTGATTTTTCGTTTATGTGATGAAACTGAATATTATATATATATATATATATATATATATTGATATGATGTAATGCAGTGGACAAATTCTGGTTTAACGAGTCCAAAACGACGACCCTGGGGAGGGCGGACCTTTCTTTCATCTCCTGACTTTTCATTCAAGTGGCGAGTGAACCAAGTCTCAACTCACAAATAGAAGAGAAGAATTGATCACTAAATAATCAACCAAATAATCCTAATTAAATGAGTAACTTTTATAATTAAGCACAGAGTGGTAGTTGAAAGAGTTTGATGAGAGAGAGTATATGTGCAGCAAAGACGATAGACAACTATTTCCTAACTGCACCCATGAGGAAAAAAAAGCTAGAAATTACCATTTATGGAAAAGAGAAGCTCAATGTGGCGAGCTTTGCTTAAATTGCTGCACCATTTGTGAGATAGAACTGACTGCTTGTATTAAAGAGAGAAGGAGAAGCAGAATTCCAGCAATGGAAGCAGCACTGCGCCAAGGAGTGTTGCAGTAATCACGGTTCAAAGTGGCCTTCATGTTATTCCATGGACTTTTACAAAAGGCATTCAAGTCCTTGCAAATATCTGAGTAATGGGGGTTGAAATTTACACGTGTGACGTTCTTCCAAAGACTATTGAATAACCTGGCCGCAGACTTGGGTTCTCCTAGCAAGTTAACGATGACTGCCTCCTGAACTAGGAGATCCACATCTTTGCTTGTGTTGATAAGGAAGTCCATAATGGCAACATAGTCAGTGATGTAAGAATGGGAAGGATAGTGACACTGCTCCAACGCCACTAGATTGCGAAGCAAAGTTTCAGTCCCATCATCCACTGTCAATTCTGGTATTTCAAGGATTCGTCCTGAAAATTTAAAGTCTAGTAAGCTGCTTCGGCTTTTACTTTTCCTGAATGTCACCCCTGCTTCAGCTAACTCAGTTGCACTCTGAAGATGCGTTACTGGATTGGGCGAACTCTCTGGCTGAATACTCAATGATGGTAAGTGAAATGTTCTAATCAGATCTGTGAAGTGGCTAATGCTAATATCTTGAGGGTCTAATTCCACTTTGTTATAATAGGCAAAATAGTTAAAAGTGAGATGAAGAAATGAAGGATTTCCACAGTTGTCAGTCCCGCTAAAGGGAAAAACCCGACGGAATAGCTTGTCAAGATCATGAAATGGCAGTTGATTCTCAAGCAGAAGTAAATCTATCCTTACAGCAGTGGCTTGCCATGGTTTTAACTTAATAATGCCATCCCATTCACTATAATATGACCTCAAAAATAGCTCAAATAAGAAACAAGAATCCACTAGAATCACCTTCACAAGTTCCGGATTGCTAAGCTCAATAGGCTCTGAGTAGTGAAGACGAACGCTTGGCTCAATCTCCTCTACAAGGCTGATTAATCTATCCAAACCTTCAATGGTGCATGAAATTCTTTGACACAATTGCTTGAGATACACAAGCTTGTACTTTTCCATGTTTTGTAGTCTGGGATGCCCATAGTGAAAAGGGCCAATAGAAACCACCTTTGGGGTAAAGCTATCTTCATTCAACTTGCGTATATCATTCGGCGCCCTATAGATGCAGCAGCACTCAGCAGCCATGGCTGTTTCAGCTTGTTCCATCATGGACGCCATTTCAATCACAAAATTGTAGTGATTACTGATTGCCATCTAAAGGGGAAAAGAAATATGAAGGAGAAATCCGCGAAACGTAATGAAAAGAGGAGGATTATGGTAGTAGTTCCCAGATCATATAGTTGAAGGAAAGAGGAAAAAGGAGCTGACATATATCCTTGAGCCATGGGAATGGGAGTGCTATTTTTAAACATGGCTGACTACAAAGAAACTTCGCAGGTTGCTTTTTGCAGCGTAATGATGACAGTAGACGTAATGTCATTGTTCTGAAAATGTGAATGTGAACGGAGCGGTCCACTTGCTTTCATAACTTGCCAGCAATAAGGCTGATCTTGTTATTTAATTCGCGTCCCACTACTACGGTCCTTCTGTACGGGGCTGTGCGTACGTGTTCGATTACTATTGGATTGGTTTTAATTTTTTGTTGTTTTATTTTTAATTCTGACCCTGTTAATTAAGGAGACAAATGAAAGAAAAAATAAGTAAAAAAAAAATACTAATTATTTAATAAGAATAAAGATAAAAGATTTTATATTTAATGATCTCCTTAGTATGTAAAAAAAATTAATATAAGTGATAATTAAAAAAGATCAGAGTGGTATAAGGATCACAATATAAATTACTTCTAGAAAAATGACTTGGTAATTAATATTTATTTGTCAATTGTGTTCGTGCAATAATTAATTGTTAAGTTTGACTCCTTGTGTTTTTTCTTTCTTTCACAATTTCATTTGATATTAGTAAAGTTGAAAAAAAAATTAATTTGGAACAAATTTAATAAGTTGATTACTATTTTTTGATACTGATAAATTAGTTAAAGTGATAGAAGCCGTTTGTATGTAATTATCATGAACATAGGGACCAACTTTAAGCGGATCCAAAGCTAAAATGGAGCTCGATGATGAAATATTTAGAAAAATATAATCTTCCATGGACAAGAAAATCAATATATAATTATATAAAACAGAAAAAAATATAACTTTTAGTCCAGAAGATTTTGTTAATTTCTGATTCGGTTTTGAATTTAAGGGGTATTTGAATGGAAACCAAACCATGATTTTTAAAAAAGTTTTACAATTTACAAAATAAATATATGAAAAAGTTTGTCTTATTTTGAGGGTTGACAAACACCTCTTAAACTCAAAACAACCCCTTCTCTGCAAGTCGCTAGTACTTGGTAGGGTAAAAGATTGAGTCGTTTTGTTTTCAAATTTAACAACTGAAATGATAACGGAGAAAAAGTTATTTTTGTAATATAGTTATATATTTAAGGGAAAAATCCTATAGGATCCATATAAGAAAATTAAATATAGATAGGCTGTTCGAATTTATACGTGAAATAAACTTTTATATTTAATTACCATAATAATTTGATATAATACATAATAATCTAATAATTAAAAATCTAATAATTAAAAAAATTTAAAAAATACAAAATAAATGCTGGTAAACTTGCGGGTTGGTGAACTAACTCGCAATTGGTTACAGGTCTAACAACGCGGATTAAAAGGATCCGTTCACTAATGACCCTAACCCGTTATTTTGGACAGGTTGGACTCACTACCAGCTCTAATTGATAGTTAAACTATGAAACATTAGGATTCTTACTTTAAGTTTTTAAAGGATGGGGAGATGTGTAGGCGATTGAACTAAAATTTATACGGTTTTATGCATTTTAATCTTTTTTTAAAGGTTAATTGTATTTGACACTTTAAAATATTTTTTCAAACAATCCTCAATATTTTAAAATAATTATTATGCATTCAATAGTCTAAAATATTTTTTTAAAAAAATAATTGATATCCTAAAATAATTTTTATTCTATTCAACAATCTCAGGCATTTTTTTTTCAGGAGCATTTGACGAAACTGCATGACGGTTTAATTTGTCGGGACGTCCCCCTCTTTGATATAAAATTTCTCTTCAGCTTCCACATTTCTCTGTTTGGATAGCACCCCAAACCATGGACCCAAACCATGGTTTGGGAAAAATGTTACCCAAACAGCCTCTCCAAAAACCAAAACCATGGTTTTAGGTCAAAACCATGGTTTTGGAAAAAGCAAAATTTTTTTGCTTTTAGAGAAAAAAAGGAGAGTGTGAGGGCCTATATGATATGTATCTTGTTATTTTTTTTTATAAACATCATGCTACTTTTCTTTTTCTTTTCTTTTTTTCTATGTTTTGGAATGCTGATCTTTCATTCTTTCTCTACCTATTAAAGTATAAAAGGCGTTGGCGTGCATACCTTGATTGTTTTAGGGAATATTTAGAGAAAATCATAATTTTAAAAATAAAATAAATATGAAAAGAAACTTATTTCAATTTATAAAAAATATTTTTAAAAAATATTTTTGTGTTATCCAAACACTCTTTGATGTAAAAATGCTTTAAACTTTTGTTGGGAGCTTCTAAGTGCTTGTTTGGCTGGGTGTTCTAGGCACTATAAGTGCTTATAAGCCTGAAAAGCATGATTGCAAATTTTGATGCTGTTTGGTTGAACGATTAGACAATCTGACTTTTGTATGAAATGTTACAATAAGTTATAAGCTAAAATTAATAACTTATGACTTATAGCTTTTGAAGTAGGGTAAAGCTGCACAAAGCACCCTGATCTATTTTTGATAATGCACCCAGCACCCTAAACTATCTAATGATGTAATTTTACCCCACATCTAATAAAACTGGAGCAACCTCATCCAAAACTTAACGCCTATGTAACTCTGTTATTTCTTATAACGGCTGGCCATTTGCCTTTTTTCTTGATGATAGGTAATCTCTTGAGTGTCAGAAGAGGCGGTTGTTTTGGGGGGGGGGGAGTACTGTTCATCATCTTCTTCGTGGAGGCGCAATTGAGGGAGCACGGTTCATCTCTCTCCTTCTCTCTCTATCTATGTATGAGCGGCCATGGAGAAAAGTGTTGGCTTTATAATTTTTCTGAGCTCTTCAAAATTTATTCTGGGTGAAAGCAATTATAATTAAATCCAGAGAACAACTATCTAATATTCTCAAGTTTTTGCTTTCTTCACTTGAGCAATCTGGGAAAGGACGGTTTTGTTTCAAATTCACTTTTTTTATTTCTACTAAAATGATAGCATATTTGTTTTCTCAAGTAAAATAACTAAGTTGGTTAGAATACCTTAATTGACTGGAAGCTTATCTAGTTAAGACATCATCCTCTAATCCTTTCTCCCATTGAACACCCACGAAGAAGACGATGAATCACCTCCTTTGCCACTCTAAAGATAACGTATCATTTGAAAAGTAAAAAAACAGACGGCCAGTTGTGGGAGATATTGGAGTTAGAGGCGTTAGATGTGGGTTCAGATTGCTCCAATTTTATTAGATGAGGGGCAAAATTGCACCACCAAATAGTTTAGAGTGCTGAGTGCACTTTACCTTTTGAAGTATGGAGAAAGAAAAAGTTAAAAAATTTATTATCTCATTTGGTTCTTATTATAAGCCTCAAATAACTAATTTATAAATAATAAAAAATCAGTTAAAATTAGTTGAAAGTAATAAATAAGTTAGAAATATACTTTTGTTTTTAAATATGTTTCTAGAAACATATTTTTATTTTTTTTCATGTTTCACTTTATATTTAAATTATTTTTTTATAATTTCTTTAAAATTTTAAAATTCTCAATCAATTTCACTCTTTATATTAAATTAATTTAAATTTATTGTATTATCTCAATTCATTTTTTTCATGTTTCACTTTATATTTAAAATATTTTTTATGATTTCTTTAAAGTTTTGAAATTTAATTCACTCATTAAACTTAACTTTTTTATATTAAATTATTTTAATTTCATCGTATCATGTGAAATCATTTTTTAATCATATTTCATTATTTATTAAAACTCACACTCATTTTGGTTATTTTGTAACCAAACTTATTTTTACTCAACCATAATCTAAATTACCTTTTACTAATATCACTTATACAAATTAATTTTTCTGAACTCTAATACAAACATAATTCAATTTGTCTAATTTAATTCTCATCCAACTCTATTTTTTTAAAAATTACTTTTTTAATAAGTTACTTTTCTTGATGGGGGTGGGTGCCAGTGGAGTGGGGCATGATGGGTCCCTCCTAGTTGAAATTATTGATTGGTCCACTTGCTTTCATGAACCGCCAGCGGCTAGCCACAAGGTAGGTCCTGCTATCCAGTCGTACGGTCCCTTTCTGTCAGGTTCTGCATGGAACGTGAATGCAGTGTACGAACGAATTCTGGGTTGAACAGGTTCCACTATCTTCAGTCATGTCAACTTCTGCCATGCTTCTCTTATTCATGCCCCATGGGGCCATGTTTTGTGGGATCCAAAGACAAAATTACATCCGTTTGGATTTATGATTAAAAGTATTTATAAATATAATTTATTTTAGGGAAAAGTCCAGAAAAAACCCTTAGAATATACTAAATCCCAAATTGGGTCTTTAAATTTCAAAAATGACAGAATCGGTCATTGACCCAATCTGTCATTTGTGAAATTCAGGCAAATTGACATTTTTGCCCCTAAGCATAAGTGAGTAGTTATTCTCTAAACAAATCTGGGTAACGTTTACACTGTTCTAGTGATTACAAGATTCGTTGTAGTTAATAATAAAGTAGCTGACAATAATAAGATACCTGACTATAAAAAAATGAGTAGTTATTCTCTACACAAATATAGGTAATGCTTACATTGTTCTAGTGATTACAGAATTAGTTGTAGTTAATAACAAGACACCTGAATCTGAAAAAGTGAGTAGTTATTCGCTATACGAATCTAAGTAACACCTAAACTCTCATAGTGATTCCTTGAATCATTATAGTGAATGAATAAATGAGGGCAAAATTGTCAATTCGCCTGAATTTCACAAATGACAGATTAGGTCAATGACCCATTCTGTCATTTTCGAAATTTAAGGACCCAATCTGGCATTTCCCATATTCGAAGGATCTTTTTTGGGATTTTCCCTTTATTTTATATAATTCAAGATAAAATTTCTCATA